CGACTGATTATCGTCTTTCATTAGTCTCGGAACATCACAAAGTGCGATAGGGCTGTATTCTCAGGGGGACTGAAGAGACAGATTGTTCTAAGGCGTGCTCATTAATGATGTTTGACGGATTAACTCTTTGTCAAAGACGGTTGACCTTTGTGAGTACGGAACAATGAAAGAAGATGGACTCGACGCCTCGGTGCTCCTCAAGTAGTACAACGGCGGCACCCTCGCCGATTTCATTGCCGTGCACCACATACGCAACAGGATGATTCCCGAATCTTTTGTCTGGCACGTCATCGCCGAGCTCGTTCGTGGGTACGCCTTCCTACACACGGGCACTTATCGGTCGCGGCAGCAGAACCTCCTTTGCCCATCGCCGGAGGAGTTGAGGATGGACCGCGCGTTCTCTGGTGGGACCCCATCATCCACGCCGACGGCCACAGCGGTAATACTTGGCTGCACTACCCGTCCGACGAGGAGAAGCGGGTCGACCCGCGGCTGGAGCGCTTCACGGACGCCATGCCGCAGGTCGTGCTGGGCGACTTTGGCTTTGCGTTCTCAGCGTCCGGTATGACCGACGAGAGCCAGGCGGCTGAGCTGCTGGCCATCGTGTCCGAGCGTCTGTCGTGGGCCGATAAGTACCAACTTGGGTTAGTACTACTAGAGCTGACGCGCCTTGGGCGGATGCGTGACACAGGTTACAGCGAAGGGCTCTTGCACTGCCTCGTGCCGTTTGGTCGGCTAAACGAATCATGGAGGAATTTATCGGACACTGCGCTGCCGCGCACGATTCCCTACGGCTTTCAAATTTTCCAACTGACGATTTCGTGTACGGCACGATGTTGGCGCTGGCGGACCACCGGGTTGACTTCTACAGCTGGGGTTGCACCCTTCCGTCGGTTAGGTGGACGATGGATGAGCAAGTAAGAGATCCGATGTTGCTGTCTTCCCGTTCCGACGAATATTTCGAGCTGTATCCGACCGCGGGGAGGATAGTTGAGCTTATCACATACCTATGATCTGCCTCAATTGGATTATTCCATTTGGTGATCGTCGAGGCTGGCCCTTGAACTATAGAGACCAACTTGGGGAAGAAAGGATAATAATAAAAGGTACGGAAATAACTAAGAATGTAAGATTTATTGTAATTGTGAGGAGATGCGCGCCTTTGACTGCCTGTTAGATGTCTAGACCTTTTGACGTGAATGGAAAGTGAATGGAAGTTTCTGGTGTGGAAAAAGGAAGCTGCGGGAGGCCCGAAGCTGCAGCATGAGAAGTTTCTTGCAGGGATGTGCCGACCTCAGTGGGCCCTACTGCATTTGCCCGGCTCTGTTCCCCCCAATTACCCACCAAATCCACCCTCCTTCAGGCAGGTTCAAATCTTTGTCAGTATTGGGGGCCGTTCAGTTGGGGGCCATTTACAATTCCAGCCCTGTTCACGAACTTGGACAACAAAGAAGTTTAAAAGCTCGTCCAGGGCCACCTTTCAGTTGCCTTGGTCCCTTCAACTGTTTCAGATGCAAAGTGTGGGCACGAATCAGTCTGTCAGTCCGCGGTGACCGACCGATGAAATATTGACGCCTGAATCCACTGCCCGACGATATAAGATCCGAGTTCCGTTCGACCTCGTCCACTCGGTCCTACTTCGTTCTTTCCACAGCTTCGTTCTTTCCCTGCCAAACACCTCCACCCGCCAGGCCTCGCAATTGCTCTTGCCTTTGCTTGCTTTAGCAACAGTCATCTGCTTCTTTCCAGTTCCACATCTCCGCCGTCGTCGGGATCTTCGTGCGACTATTCTTCCCCTCTCCATGTTCAGAAAGAAATCCCAAGTGGAGGTTTCTAGTCGCTGTTTTCAGCTCGACGAAACTTCAGACTGATTAGTGGCCTATCTCACGATCACCAGATCTGTGGCGATATTGCCCAGCAAAGCAATCCCTTTCATGACAGTGTCATCTCGTTTCCTTATTCGTCCCACCCTGTCTCTTCATTTTCTCTTTTTTTTCATCGTCGCGAATCTCGTCGTCTTTGGACCACTTCCGCGACCACCTGCGGGCGGTCCACAAGGATTATCAAACCACAGAGTCTCAGTCTTCATTCCCCTGCTTTCTGGAGTTCGACCGAAAAAGCGCGGGATGCGGACTAGTGGTCCAGCTCGTCATCGCCTTCGCCGGCCGCCCGAGATACATTCGAACATCATCATCCCCATGAACCCTACCACCGACGACTACCTCGGCCCCATCATGCTGCACGTGTACGTCCACGTGTCCGAGTTGGACAATCCTTAAGCCCGTTCCGGGACGGGACATGGCAACGCAATCCTCGGCTCCCGGGACTCAGTCGATACCCGAAGTCCGATAAACCCGATACCGATCCTTTCCGGCGACGGTGGACGACGGTCATCACGTAATCTGGGCGACTACCGCGGATGCATCGTCAGTTCTCCGGCCAAATACGGTCATGTTCTTCTCGGGCACTCTAGATCCAATGATTCAAGTGAGGCTACAACTTCGGTCTCGACGAGATAAAGAACCATGCATTGCATGGGAAGAGGGATGAATGGGGTAATGGGGGGAATGGAGCTGTCAACCTCTCCTCTCATTGCCGTGATGTTGCCGGTCTCCATCACCCCGCAGTGGTTCGCAAATCGCGGGCTGTGGCCTCACCGAGGCAGCGATGCAAGGCAACCATGCTGATATCGCCACTTTCTGTCGGCTCTCACCATCTCAACCTAATTGGTCCACCATGGGTTGCCAAGCGGCCAAAACACCAATTCAAAGGCACATCTCTCAGTTCAAGTGCTGACGAAGCAGTTTAGTCAGGAGCTTGCATATGCCAGTCGGTAGCATCACTGGTTGCCCACTTTCCTCTTATCTGCATTCGCCGACTCCCCGTTGTTCTTGCACATGTTGAAGATCGGCAGATTCTAAAGAGATGAAGATACGCTGGGGTACGAATGGCAATGGCCTGGTCGAAGCATTGTTTGCTATCGCACTGCCCAAGCCTCACCGGCTTCCACGTCGTGGTCGCTTACTTTATTTCTTCACTTTCTTCATTGGGTACGGGGAGGCAAATGTGTTCAAACGGTCCTTGAAGCGTACTCAAGCCAATTTCACTCCTTTCTCGCAAAGGTGCAGCTCACAAAATAGGAATTCTCCTCCGTCGACTGTGGTCTAAGTCTGCCCAATGGCTTTTCACACTTCGATCGGCCTTGGGAGGCATTCCACTCGACTTCTATCTGGTGGGGTCATTATCTGGACAACTATTATTAACCCAACTTTACCAAACTCAGCTTTCCTGCACCATGTATGTGTCTGCCCGAATAGGTCTGTTTGACCGTGCTTCACACCTTCACATCCAAGCTTGCCACGCACCTCGAACATTTTTATCTTAGCCGGCGGCACAGTCATTCACTTCTATACTCGGTTCCAATGTCAACCGATTTCCACCATTCATTGGCCCCATCCCCAGCTCGAGTACGACCGAAAAGCCGGCCTTGCAGATGGCAACATTGCATCTGAGCTCCTAATGTGCTATTTTCCCGCAGATGCAGATGGCGGCAGGTGATGATGTTTGTCTTGGTTGGTCGGCATGGCCAGCAGCAAGAGAGGGGCAGAGCAACTTTCAAAGGTCCACGGCCAATTTGAAGATTGATGTATGCATGACGGATCGAGCCGGTTGGGTGGCCTTGACTGTCAGGCGACAGAGTCGAGTTTGGGACTTCGAGGTCCGCGGTCGGGCACGCAAGTTCTGAACTTGCGAGTCCAGATAGTATAACTGAAGCCAACCTGTCGAATTCTTCATGTTTCTGAGGTTCACCAATATATGACTGTCGTTTGATTCATGTACGCTCCCCCGTGATATACCCCAGACAATATTCCGCCCTCCATTCTCAGATTTTCGACATGGCGTCTTCCAATACAAGATATTACTTCAGTGGGTATGTCATACGGCATTGAACTCCTTGCTTTCCGTTTATCTTCTTGGATTAACGCTCAACCTTCCAGGTCTGCCACCCAGCCCACCGCAGGAGGAGATTCTTTGCCAAGTCAAAGCCTTACTGAGTCTCGCCTTCGCATGTTCAAAGACGAGCCGACGAGCCACGGAAATATCCTCGTGGCTCTACCATACCAATCATCCACTCGGGAAGCAAGCAAATCGGCGCACAAGGACAGGATGGCGAGCTATCTCCAAGACATTGGGAGGCGACTGCCATGAGTTGTGTCAGCCATTTCACGCTGGACTTTCTGGTTGACTGCTGTCGGTTGGTCTCTTCTAAGCTGGGGCTAAGCGTTGTCCCAGTATTGAAGCAGCGATGGTCGACTGGGGGCAATGGCCTGATGGGACCACTGACAGTGACAGGGATTATGACCGGCCAGGTTCAGGAGAATCACAGCACACTCTAGATTTGCGATAACATCCCCGCATTTTCAAGTGCTCTCCGCAACGATGAATGACGACTGTTGTCTGTATGTCGCTGTCACGGCTGCTAATTATATCTCGACCGACTATTGTTTTCGTTTCCTTTTTCTATATATAGATACCTTACATGTTGTCTAGCATACAATTCGTTCAGCCCTACCCGCCGCACGCCCCACACGTCCCACCTGAGCTGATTTTCAGCATCAATCCTAGATTTGGGTCTTGCAATATTGACCCAGTGGGGGGCTAGACGGGGATGGAATGGCATTAACGTCAAGTTTATTTTCGACTTCGATATCGTCCCGGCTAGGGGAATTAGGCAGACAAACGGTGCACACTTGTACGTCATTCATTGTTGTCGTCGTCATAAACACCGTCTTTCCGTCATTCTTAGGGTTGATACGACGTCGAGCACCTCCCTTCAACACCATTAAAGTGTGGAACGTCCAAAATAGAGACAGTTGCTGCCTACACCGTGAGTTCAATATGACACTTCTCAGCAAATCCCCACAGCACAACTCCACAACTCGACATCAACACGACTCATTCAACTTGAAATTCCCGCAAGATCTCTCACAAATAAAAAAGGGCGTGTGGCTCAGTTGGTAGAGCGTTCGCTTAGCATGGGTTATAATATCCTGCGAAAGGTCCTGAGTTCGATTCTTAGCTCGTCCATCACTATGTATTCATCAGGCACTTCACAATGTCTGTTTGATTCTTTTTTTGTCTTTTTCTTTTTATTCTTCGTCTTTCCAGCTAACACTGCTGCCCACAACGCTTCTATATTGATATGATCGATCCGACTCTAACAAATCATCCCCCAAAGATACCTGAGTAATACCAGATATAGCACGCATTCATGTTGTTAGATTAGTAGAGTCTTGACACGTTCTGCCAATTTCCTCATCCTTCTTTTTTCCCGGCAATTATGTAGATGTCCAAATATTCGATTAAAGGTCCCTCGATAAGTGGCCTGCCAATCTTGTCTATCTACATTCTTCACCCTACAATATCACTATGGTCCCCATCTTCTCCAAATATGGATGATGATCAGTCCTCGCCCACACGGAAAAGTGCCAAAGCCATGGCATCCGAAAGCACCGACCCCGTCGGCTTCTTCACGCTGAGCAGCCTCGTCAGCCCGCCATCCATCCCGTTCACGTTCGGAGGCGTCATGCTAGTACTAATCCCAGGCGACTGCGGCCGACTTCCCGCAGCGTTGTCACTGCCGTTATAACCATTTCCGTTTCCATTTATCCCCTGCGGCAGCGGCAGCGCCTGCGCATTGCTATACCTCCGCACACTGTTCTTTGCCGCGTTACTCCTGCGCAGACTGGGCGACGGGTCCAGCAGGTTACCGTTTCCGTTGGATTGTGGTGGAGGTGATCCTTGTCGATCGTTCAGTGTCAACCTCGCCATCGGGTTCGGTGAAGGCGACCTCGCTCCGCGCGGTGCCCGCGGCGCCTCAAATCGTGCGGTAGATGCGGTCGACGGTGGCCCGGGCGATTTTGCCCTCGCTGCTGACGCCTCCTTGAGCTTCTCGACGCTCAGCAGGCCCCAGAGCTGCTGCAGCCACTTCTGTTTTTCCTCCGGTTTCATCGAGCGAATGGGTAAAACCTCGGCGCCGGCCATCTCGCGCGTCGGCCAGGGGAAGCTGACAGCCATCTCTCTCAACGTCAGGCTGTGCATCTGGCGCAGAACGATGCGGATTTGGGGTTCGATGTTGGCTTCGGGAGAAAAATGCCAGTCGTCGCGGCGCTCGAGGCGGTCGGCGATCTGCGTCATGGCGCCGACCAGCCACTCGAGCGCGACCGTGTCGGGCACGGATGCCGCCTTGCTGAGCAGCCACCCCAACATTTCCGGGGAGCCGGACTGGTTGAGGATGGGGATGCTGCGCTTGTCGTGCTCGCGGCCTTGGAGCTTCATGATGAAGTCGTTGTACTCCTTCATGGCGCCGAGCTCGAGGCCAACGAAGCGACCGCCGTTGAGCGCGTGCATGATCTCGTCGCCGAGCGCGATGCCGGCTTTGATGCCGGAGTTGAGGCCTCTTCCAGGCCAGAAATGGACCGTCATGGCTGCGTCGCCCGCCACTGCTACCAGCGCGTGGGGTCGTTTCACGAAGCGCGAGTCTTCGAGCGGTAGCTGACGAACCCCTTCACGTACGGCTTGCACGACGATGGGGATCCGCACCACGTTTATAACTTCGCTCTCCTTGAAGCCGAACAGCTTCAGCCCGTCCTCGATCGATTTCCAGGTCGCCGATTCTCGTTCCTGGGACGGCTTAAACACGCGACTCTCGTCAAATCCGTCAGGGATGCTCCCGTCCGCCCTCCGTAAACAGCCCGGCCGGCCAAAATGCACCGGCTGTCCGTCCGCAGCAACCATCTTATCCCACTCCTCCTCGGTAACCTGCATGTTCAGGTACCCCCTCCCATCGTGATCGCTGGCGTTGAGCAGATACCTCGTCTGCCCGAGCGTGAGAAACATGTTCAGCGGCTGACTCCACGGCAGTCCGCCTTTCGCACCGCGATCGAACGCCAGACCGAGGGCGTAGCTGCGTCCGCGCTCTTTTTCATAGCCACGGAAATAGCTGCCCCGGACCCATGAGGCTGCGCCATCTGTCCCCAACAGAACATGAAAATCACCGCACTTCCCGGCCGCGAGCTCGTCCCTCGTGACGCCTTCGGCATGCAAGTAAATCAGCCCGCGGAACTCCGGGTCCTGGCAGCGCTTGAGGAAACGGTCTTCGACCTTGCGGATCTGGATGTTCGCTGAGCCGGGCCACACCCGCTCCGGTCTACCTGCGAATAGCGCCTGATACGATTCTTTGGTGAGAAGATTGGTGACCGTGTCCTGCAGGGTGACAACCTGGTCGCGCCTGCGCGCAGTAGGCGGGTAATCGATCCTCCCGTCTTCCGTGAGAACCCATCTGCGCTCCCAGACATGCACCTCGATGTTGCCGGCGCCCTTTTCGGCGAGTGATATCGCTGACGCGAGACCCGTCGGTCCGCCTCCCACAATGCATACCCGCAAACGGCCGGCCGGGTAGCGGTAGACGACTGTCTCGCCGGGCGGTGGCGGCGAGAGGTTCCGCTGCAGGGTCGGGTCAAAGAAGAAATCAATGAGTGATTGTGCATGTTCGGCGAACAGTTTTTCTGGGATCCGGGCTTTGATGAGCATGAAGCGTGTTGCTTGGAGCAATGGGGTCACAGAAAACTCGGCGTGCCGGTTACCGAAGATGGAGTGCTGGATCGCGAGGGCAATGCCTAACACGGTGGTGTTGCGCTGCGTGTCGGCCACGATGGCGCGCACGCCCGCGTTGATCAGAGGGTCTGCTGACATGTTTGTGAATCGAAGCAGAAAAATGCGGGCGCGCTCGAGGTCGGAGCGCGCTACGTCTGCCAGGCCCCATGCGTCTTCGTAGACCTTTGGGAAGACGATGCTGTCATGACTATAACCGTTGGCGGAAGGGGTAGTAGGTGGTGGTGGACTGCTTGTCTTGGCTGGTGCCGGCGGTGCTGGGGAGCGCCCCCGACGGCCGCGGATGGGCATCGTGGTGTTTGTTGCTGCCTTTTTTGGTCGTCGTCGGCCGAAGAAGCGATGTCTTTTCTGCTGTGGTTCTTCCTGCGGAGGCGCAAAGTCAAAGAAGGGACGGCCTGGCTTTACGTAGTGCTGAAACTGAAGCTCCAAGGGGTCTGTCAGTAAGGGATTCTTGTTGCTGTTGCCGGAAAGGGGTAGAGGCAAGCTGGTGGTCTTATCAGACGGCATAGTTGCGGTGGTTGCTGCGGCACAGCAAGATATTGAAGGAATAGGGATATAAATAAAAGGGATTTTGGGGGTAGTAGTGTTCTTGAGTGGGATTTAGGATAAATGATGCTGCGTTGGAGATAGGATACGCGGGAAAAGTAGCTGCTGTGGGACCAGTTTCATAAAGATGCTTCCGTATGTTTCACGCAGCTCATATCCGATGGCAGTTTCACTTCTTTGCAAGAATATGAAATGAAAGTTCACTTACTCAGATTATTATTATAATGTAGAATCTTTGACGTTGGGCACAGGCAAGTGATCAGTCGTTGCTGCCAAGCAGGCACGTTGGGCGTTGGTGGTGCCCAGGGCGACGTGGTTGGACGTTGACGATGTCGTATGGAGACACTGGATTGGAGGTTCGGGAGCGAGAAGAGAAACAAAGAGAACAGAAATTGCGGGAAGACATGATCGGTAGGTATGCCAGATAAGTACTTTGTATTTCTCTGTGATAAGTAACAAGCCACAATCCTTTCATCCATAACATGGAAAGCCTTCTCTGTGAGTGTCAGGGGTTCTAGGGTTCGATCAACTGGGTTTAGATGCGGCCGCTGTGCGTGCGTTCTCGCTTGTCCGCCATGGATAACCTATGAATCCCATGCCCAGCGCGTCTCTTGGACCGTTGGGGCAGACGTACAGTACTTGGCCGGAAGGGTTGGCGCTCGGCGCTGCACACACCAAAACAAACTCCGGCGGAGAGGTATTTTTAGAGAAGGTGCGGCACAAAGTCCGACCCTGCCAGCGATGTTACCCTTTCCCTACTAGCCTAGTAGGTACATAAGGTATGGATATGTCTTACCGACGACTTCTTGCGGTAAATGATATTTTTGTTCATCATCGGTCCTCGCTTGTCGCCGTTAAATACGATTATTATCATCATCATGTGGACAACGGGTATCGTATTGACGGAGTATTACACGAAACATGATTTGAGATCTGTCGCGCGAATTTCCGCCCCCAGGGAAGAGTCACGGAAGACCTGTCATGCATCCACACCACTGGAAGCGAGCATCCGGTTGGAGGACGGGAGCACACACACAGCCAAATCTTCCAGTCCAGTGGCCGCCTATTCGTCCCACCTTTACCGTGCCGCTTTGTTTCTGCAGTGCGTGATCTTGCTCTCAGTGACCACAGATTGGGATCTGCGGATACTCAACTTCCAGAAGCCATTTGGAACATTGTACCTGTCGGGCCATCTGGCCGCGTACTGACTCTTGGCGGTGCGCAAAAGGCGGCCAACAAAACAAATCCAACAATGGAGTTCAGATGCGAAAGGAACAAAGGCGCATGCCCAACCCAGATCGGGCAAACAATTCCCATGTTTGTTGAGATGCACTGCAGTCAGCATAAACGCGCCCACCGCCGCTGGAGTCCCGAGGCCGGCAGAATTGGATTGGTAGGGCTAAGTACCTAGGTAGGTAGTGTCAGGGACCTGCAGCAGGGGTTGAAAGGACCGCTAAAGGCGGACTTTGTTCTTTGTTTCTTCCAGTGGCCATTCACACACAACCCACTGAGAGGATTTAGAGTGCTGACATGACGCTGTATGCTTATCCCGAAGCTGACCACCGTCGGATCTAAATTTATTTATCCAAAGCATTTTCGGACTCGAGAAGTTGTAGGTAGTGATCTACCATCACAACTAGGTACTCTTTTACACAGCGCAAACACTGACCAAACTAAACCGCCCGCACCAAAATGGGGGCAAGAAAATAATAACGTATATTCAAACCCCCGAACCCCTATCGTCTCCCCATTCCCCCCATCTAAAGAGCATCATCAGCCCAATCATCGGACAAGCCCCCAGCATTGCTGTCCCCGGATAACAACAGCTCAGACCAACTCGAGAGATCATCAAAGTCCGCCAGCTCGAA